TACTACTTTTTGCCGATTTCTTGACAACAATATTAAAATTATTTACATTTCTCGATATAAAAATGAATACAAATTTATTATGAGAATGGCTACAGGTTTTCCTAGCATTGAAGAAAAAAATCTCACATAAAAATTGATATCTATTTTTTTAAATATTTTACTATAATAGAAAGAAATTATATATATATACATATATATATTTTTTTCTGTGACCAAGCGTTCAGCGGTAGTCTTCTATTCGCGTAACGCACGGTTACAAGGATCTGAGGAAAGAGAAAGGAAGAAATGCGGAGGTGATGGCCAAAGTGAGCCGAAGTGAGCCGAAGCGATAAGTGTTGTGCTTTTAGTGACTGATCGCTACGACGAAAGTAAAATCTACCGCACTGTATGTGCTATAAGGGGACTAATGAGGTTTCCATAAACATATATATATATATATATATATTTATGTACAGGTATCTATATCTGTCTATCTATATATGTATAAGTTCTGCATTTAAGCTAAATTACCTTGTGACTTGAATTGGCGGACACCCGTCGGCTAAATGGACCTTAACTTGTATTTCTATGCTGTCAGGCGGAGCGTAACTGGGAAGCGCTCGGTCGCGAGCTAGGTTTCCTATCCATTACGATTCATAATAAGACCATCGGCAGTAGACTATCTATTTGGCGCCCCACACGTGTAAAATCATTTATGACTTCACACAGGAGTGAACATGAACATGGGTCATTCCGGAACTTTCTGTTTTTGAATACATTCTTCGGTTTCTAATAAGGGTGTTTACTTGCCGGGAATAGGAATCAGATAAACACCATATTTAAGTTCAAATTTTTATCCCCTCGGGAGCACTGCATACGTCATTTGTCATTCAGGCAATGTATGGCAACATCAGGCTAACCAAACTTCGTCTGCGCGTAGAGTGATGGCGCTCTTGTAAAAATTATATTTAACCGGAAGCAATGGAGTTAAAAATTTACAACAACAAAAATTAAAATTACAAGTTTTGCATTCTCTTTTAAAATGGTCGGTGTTAATGCGATAAATTTATACTTGACATCAAGTGGCGTAGGTATATTAATTTTGTTAGCTTGTCTGTACAGTAAGGCCTTACTTTGCGCACTATCACAGACAGACCACAAATCATATGTTTCTGCCAAACAGGTAAACAGCTGTTCTTGTTATATTTTTATGCTTTTCCGGTATTCCAGCATTTAAGGATAAGTGCGAAGACAACACAAACATTATATGGTGTCCGATCGACTTCTTCCATCTTCATTAAATTACTGAAACGTTTGAGGGTTAAAAGCGTTTCCCACTGCGGCGTCTTCAAGTCAAGGCCTGCGCGCTCATTCAAGGGAAGACTTTTGGACTATAAACTACGGCATATGCATGCTACATTCTGTACAATATTCTTACGGAAAGTGGAATTATGAGAAGACCTGATTCACTAAGAATCGCGTCTTTTTATTATATGTCAATGGTGGATGGGAGAGGATTCGTTTTGAGCCTGCCTTTTGTTTTCATCTTTTTTTTTTACTATTACATGGCATTAGTAGCAGTTTGTTTATAACGTAACGACTACGATGAGGTGAAGAGATGTAAATAATTTTTTCAAGTTTCTGTGAACACATTTAGGGTGTGAAGCAAATTAAATTTCTGTTCATATTCTGTTCAAAAAATTGTGAATTTTAAACAAATATCTCTATTTCTATGCACTAACACAATTATGCATATATGTGATGAGCACAGGTAAAGTGCTCATTACTAAACCGGATATACAATAATAATAAGAATAAAAATTAAATTTTGAAAATAAGTCTCTATTCCGCAATCCTTACAGTTATTCCGCTCGCAATAGTGTTTAAGAAGCAAGCAGAATGCTACGTAAATGTGTTTAGGATATTATATACATTGCTTGACCTCAGATGAAAGAGGCAGCGAAAAATAACTCCATAAACTATACGTGATTTTCTCCCTTTCAATACAGTAGGTGAGGTTTGTCTACAAAGGTGATAAATTTTTATAAAAGATCAAAGACACTACGGTTCTTAAGGACCCTTAGATTAAGCCAGAGAGTTAAATTTGTATTACTCCCTTTATTTTATTTTCATTTTTAATTCTATCTTTAGTTTTACACCCACCACCGAAGGATGAAGGATATATATATTTTGTCTGCAGCGCCCAGAGGGAAACTTGAGCGACTCCACAAATTATTTATATTCTCGATCAGCACAAAAAATATATGTTCTTGATCAGCATCAAATTTTGATCCCATTTAAGCATGTCTGTCTATCTGTCCGGCCGCTTATGTAATGTCAGCTGGACGCAAAAATGAAGTTATTAACTTCAAAGTTGGCCGAAATATTGGAGATTCTTGTACGTAGGCTGGTATTGAAAAGGGAAAATTTGAACCCATTTTGTATGATGCTGTAATGTCTGTACAAAAATAGAGATAATTAACGCAATATTACAGGGCATCAAAGGTTAATCCGTGGACTGTTTCAAATTTGTAATGCTCAGTCCAGCTGCCTAGTGTCCTGGGTAGATATTCGCCCAACAGCAAAAATGAAGATGAAATTGTAATAAGCTTTTCAAAAGACACGCCCACAACGCCTGGATGTCTTTTATTTTGAAAATAAGAAACAAGTGGGCCTTGCCCGTTCCATAATAACCTAAAATTTAGTTCTTTTTACTTTTTTTCTCTTTTTCAGGTTAACGGACGGCGATGGGTATAAAAGATTCGGTCATGACCGAATATAATTTTCTAACTTGTTTAAAGTGAATTCTTCATTAAATGTGCTAATGTCTGGTTTGTTAAAGTTATCGTTAAATACGCTCTAAGCTAGTGCGATAGGACCTACATAAGAACAATAAGTTGAGTGAAGGCGCACCGCACCTTTTCCCATTAACACTATATCTGCAATTTGTTTTAAGGTCTAAATAGTTAGTTACCTTACTTGTTAATTTTCTTTGTAATAATAATAATAATAATTTTTTTTTTTTTTTCTTGCATATATATTTTTATATCCATGTACATGTGTGAGTATATTTTTTTTTTTTGTGAATTGTCTTTTGAAAAAGTGAAAAGCTAAACAAGATGTGCGCAAGATTTCTTTCTCGTTTCGAAGATGAAGAATGCTTAAGCATTAAATGTTAATAAGCAAAAATGATGTTTAGGTTGTTTTTATGTTGGCCAAAATGGCATGTTATTGTGACTGTAGTATTTTTTTTTTTTTTTTTTTTTTTTTTTTTAATAAAAAACGATAAGCAATTTTTTGATGAGAATATTTTCTCGTTTTCTTCGCGCAAGCAATAATGATATGAATGAATGGTTGAGCAGCCGTAGAAGAATGTGTTGCAATACATTTAATAACTTATGAGATTCTTAAAATTATTTACGAAAAACGAAAGAAAAAGAAAGATAAATAAATGCAAATATTAGAAAATACCACTAAAGTTCAGCTGCTTACGATGAACATAACATAGTTTGATGGGTAAAGTGGGACGCTTAAGTGACGTAAGCTCTTGTTGTAATTGCTTCTTAAACGATTGCAAATATCACATACATTCTAACTTAACCTTTTTTCACCCTAAACGCTGACATCTTGTTACATTTATATGCAAATAGATAAACAATTTTCCGCAAAGTGTTCGTATACCCATCACAGAACGATGAGGAATATATTCATTTTACCTAAACGTTTGTAACACTGAGGAGGAAGCTTCAAGGACTCCTTAAAGTACATATATTCTTGGCCAGCTTGAAATCCTAAATCGATTTAATCATGTCCTTCTGTCTGTTTGTGCAATGTTTGTGGTAAACATTCACCGGAATCAGCTTGAAATTTGTCAGAAGGATTGGAAAGCACGCAGGTTGTTATTGAAATTGGTCTAGATCGGCCAAAGAACACGACCACGTAGGCAAGCCGGGCATATTACGCAAAGTTTATTTGGTAGATTGAGAAAAAAATTAAAGATAGAGATTATTTCGATTTCCTCGAAGAATCTTAAAGAATTGATCAGCATAGGTAGAATTCCATGAAGAGGAGTAAGAATTTTGAAATTTATTTCCCCTAATATGATCTGCTAGGCAATTTATTAACTGAATTAAGATAGAGATAACTAGGAAAAGCATACGTTTTTTAACAGTAAAAATCTGTTAGCGCAAGGTAGGGATTAGTGAACGCAAAACCGTTTTGCTAAAAGTGAAGAACAATTAATATGACAATTCAGTGCATAAGCTGAATAAACTGAGGGTAGTGGGTCAAAAAGCAAACATGTAGATTTCAATAAATTTCAACTGACCAGACCAGGTTCTCGAATATGTAAGGTTAGCAAAATATTTGTAATGAAATTCATAACAGAAGCAATTTCTTCACTTCATTTTCTATTACGATTCGCACTTTACTCTATTTAGTATGTGTACAGGAAATTTTTTCGAATGTTATGACAAGTTATTTCTGCAACAAATCGTCTAGTAATTGAAAAAGATTTTGACAAACTATTAAAGTTATCTCAATAAAACAAAAGTTTACACTAATCGTAAGGCAGCTTCATCGACCTAATGAATTATGCATAGTTTTGATCAGTAACAAATACTTAACCTAAGTACTTCTATCTGTCCGACTATGTAAATGTCTATGGTAAACATCCGTTCGGTTGCAAAAATTAAGAAGACCTATATATATACAGACGCCTGCAAGAGAGATTCGTATCACGCGGTAAAAGCATGAGACATGAAATATGTATTAATAAATATCAACATTTTTCTCTCTGTCTCCCTTGCGAAAAGAAAGACGTTTATTATTTAACGGCCATAGATGTCGTTGTCATGTAGTGTCTTAAACATTGTTATTAAAAAAAAAGTGATTTTAAATATAATATGAAAGTGTGAAAACGACTCACGTATCCGTATAATTGAAGTGACTCGTGCAAAGCGAAAAGAGACTACAGGAGGCCTATTGGGGATCTTTTCGGAATAATTATAATATTTACTTACCAATCTTTTCTCCTCGCCGTATGGTGTTTGTATTGATGCAACTGCAGTGAAATTGCCTTAAAATTAACGAGTTTATGTCTCCATTAGTGCTTCATTGGGCTTTAGCTACATCATGGCTTGCTTATTCGATCACTAAAAAAAAGCAGGAAAAAGAAAAAAATATTATATAGAAATGAAAACAACAAAAGTGCTTGCAATGAAAACAAAAGGAAATCTAGATAGTGTCATCTATAAGAAATTATTAAGGTAGATAGAATGAATCATCAGTCATACTATTTTTTACTATTTGCCCCTTGTTTGTAGATAAACGAGCCATAGGTTCGAATCATTTGACAAAGTACTGGAAATTACACGCACTGTAAACGCCGCAGGAGAAATTTTATTATCAAATCAGAAATTTTAGAAGAACCCTTTGCAAAACAAATCATATTTTCGGACAAAAAAACATGCAATTAGGCAATGAGATGATGACATTTAATTTATGAAAAAAATGTAATCATAAGTCATTTTGAAATGTCACTTCTATTATAAATATTTACTTGACCTTGTCCAATCGACAGTTATAGCTGCCCTTGGTTCCAATTCTATAACTCTGACCACGATTTGGAAAAATAACGATTTTCTATTATAACGTGTTATTTAAAAACGTATTTATATAAGTTTTGTATTCTTTCATATTTTTTTTTTTCTCCATACGTTTAATTTTAATTGCGTTTAATTCTAATGTCTTCGAGATTATGAATGTGCTGATAAGTTGAACTCAGCAGCAATAAGGCCACGTAGATATCAAATCGGTTTTCTTTTGTTGTCAACATGAAATAGTGTTTGCCTTAAGCGTTGCTTAAAAACGAAATACGATTCAGTTTACATATATAATAAGCATAAGTGCTTAACATTTTCACGTCATCATCTTCATCTTCTATTTACTTCACTCATTTACGCTTTTATAATAATTGCAAAGATCTCATCAAATTTTTTTTTATTATTCATTTACAAAAGAACGCAATTGTACGTGTGTGTATGTGTTTGTCGAATTTTAAGGTGTGCCATTTATTATTAGTTTTTCATAAATTCATTGTAATTTACGTTTATGTTTTTTTTATTTTTTTTTATTTAAAAGAATGCATTCGATAATTTATATTTCAATCCAGCTGCATATGTATGTATGTATATGTATGTAAAGTTATTTGCATTTTTTTTTCCTTTTTTTTTTTTTGAAGTTTTATCCGCTAATAGGCATGGTTTTTTCTTTTAGCTTTTAAAACATTTTTACATTTACTATGAAATGTTGAAATAAAACAAAAGACTTAAGTCACAAACTTTCTATTGACAGATTGTTCGGTAAGTATGAAAGGAAAAAGAAACGACAATTATTTCGATTATTTTCGATTCGAAACGATTTTTCATATTCGCGTCTAGCTTGCATTGTGACCTGAAGAAAGTCTTCAATCGTCTTTGCAAATATCCATAAATATCTATATATCTATATATATATATATAACACACATGTACATAAGATATCTGATTAATAAGAATACCAATATTTGTTGAATGTATGTATATAAGTCAAATTTCTGAAATCAAGTCACCGAAGAGAAAGTCACTTAAGGAAAACTAAGTAGATTTCATGCCAATAAATTCACTTAAGAGGATTAGTTCAAGAAAAGGCGTTTATATGCCACATACTTTAATAAATGTTTTAACGGTTGGACAGAAGATAAAAGAAAGAATTGAACTGCGAGCATGTATGTATGGATGTGTCTACTGACCGTAAAATACTAAAACTCCGAGACTATTATTAATTGTCTTCTCTGCCGAATTTCTTGAGCGGTGTTATGAAAATTCATTGATGAATCTATCTCATCGAAGAGAAAACATTCGCGGACTCATTATGGGCAATCGATTTTCTAGCAATAACCATAAATATGCTATCAATTTTGAAAGCTTCCATACCTATTAAATGATCCATTGCTTAGATTAATCGAAAGGTTAATATATGGGTTTCGTGTCTAACCTTTACCCGAAGAGATATTTGATATAATATTTATTACATTTTGTTGTGTTTCAACAACAACAACAACAACAATAGCGACAAGCGGTAACTTGTTGTTTATTTGTATACGAACCAAAGAAAAGCATAAAATTTTATTAAAATCAAAATAAATCATTAGACATGCGAAGCAATTAAATTAAATTAAAAAGAGAAGAGAAGAGAAAAAGAAAAAATCTCAGAAAATTTCTCATGCTTACCATGCTTTTGCATGCATTGTAATAAGAATGCGATCATAAGAGCATCAAGTGATGCCAAGATGCTACAATGAACTCAATAACATTCACCTGCCGTAACCGATACGATCTCAAGGTCTGCTCTAAGATATATTATTGTTTCGCTCGCCATCAGATTCTTGATATATATATAGAAATTTATGGAGCATATGTAGCAGAGTTTTTCTGTACCTGGAACGAAAGAGAGAGAGAGAGAGAGAGTGAGTGAGGGAGAGTGAGTGAGAAAATTATATAAACTTTTGAAATACATTTGTTTATTAATTCACTGTTTATGTTGAATAAAATGGATTTAAATTAATTTTTTTTATTTTTTTTTATTTTTTTATTTATACATTGTTTTCTTAATCTTTTCTATTTGTTTGGAAATAAGTATGAGGACGTTTTCACATCACCGAACAATGAATAATGTTTGTAGTGATGATGTTGGTGCGATTGTTTAATTATATTAAAAATACTGTAATATTTTACTTTAACTAATTAAGAGACCTTCAAAGTAAAACCTTTGCAAGAGTTTAAAGACATAAAAATCGCATATATATATATATATGTATATACATATTAATTTGCGTACATTTTGATATGACCATGTATTCGTATAGTTAAAAAATATAAAGCCTTTCTTTGTTGAAGAAGCATTTCATTGATATTTGAATTTATAATAAATTCAACCATTTTTTTTTATTATTGGGCTCAATATTTTTTTTAGATCTGTTTAATTTAATTTCATTATTTTCTATGCTTGCTTGAGCGCAGTTATATTAAACATTATAAACTACTAAGTGTTTATTGTTAAATATTTGATTAGTTCGCTGCTCGCTTGCTTGCTCGCTGGCTTGCTTGCTTGCTCGCTTGCAAATAATACACCACATAAATTATATATAATTTAAGAAAACCACTTTAATTACAACATTTTCTAATGGCTTGCGTTGATTTATGCCAACAGTAGAATATTGTTTAGGAGATGTTTTTCCTCATTTATAATTAAAATGTATTATGTTTACGAAAATGCATTCTTATGCTAACCGCAAGGAGATTTTTTAGTTGCACATATGTGCATATACATTAGGAGGTTACACATATTTTAGCCAGCGACCTCTACAGATAAAAATGATAAAGAAATGGGAAATAGCCTTCCTCTGCATAAAATAACAGTTCTCCATTTAGTATTGATTATTGATTTATTCAGCGCAAGCCCAGCTTAGCCATGAAGCATTCAAAATTCTTCTTCTTCCTACAAATTCATTATTTTTGTTGTTTATTTGGAGAAATCTGTTGCCAAAGCCTACAAAAGACGTTCATAGCTTTATGGTGATGCTGTTCGATAATAGACCAATCGTCGGTTCTAAGTTCAACGGTTTGAATTGACTGAAATTGTCATTTTTTGGCCACTTTTAGCAAGAGTTGCCCACGATAAACTGTTGCAGTTGCAAGAGATTTTACATAAATAGAAATAAATCTCTGTCGGCAGTTATTATATTTTATTTAAAGTATTATTCATAGCGAGTCGCAGCCTCTTTTACTTGTTAGAGAGTACTTTCGAATTGAAAAGTCATACCTTTGTTCTTCGAATTTTTTTTAGTAATGATTATGTTTCCTACGTTTTGAAATTCGTGGGAAACCGATAAAGGAAAGAGTATGAAAAAGGTTTCAAACGATTGAAAAAGAAATGCCTTTATACGGCCTACTCTTTATACTCTTCACGATCTGATGATTGTCATCGATATTGGAATGCAAAGGATTGTAATAAAATATTTAAGATCATAATAAAAGTAAATGAATCTTAAGACATTCGATGATTCAAATGGAATTTTAATTTAATTTAAAAAAAAAAAAATATCCAACAAATTAATTAAATGCAAATAATTAATTAATCTTTTCCTTTTTTTTTTTTTGAAATATTTAACTATCTACATTGTGAAGCTTAATTAAATCAGGCCGACACACATGGGTAACAAGAAATTTATAAGAAATAAGAAAAAAAAAGAGAAGAAAAAAAAGAATTAATAAATAAATATAATTATGATGTAACATTTTTTGAAAAAAAAAAAAAAACAAGATAAACTCACATCATCAATAGTGCTGGTGAAAAATTGTCATAATAATAATAATAGTAATAATGATTATATCAGCGATGCACAAGAAACAACTTGATGTGTTTGGTGTTGTTGTTTTGTGAATATTATATGAACGTAAAGTACACACCTGGTCTATGGATTTATCTTATGACATGAATTGGTAACTAAAACAATGCGTTTCGCAGAGAGTTATCGAATTAAAATAATGTATAAACACGTGCACTCAACTTAAATGCAACATATATATATCTATATATTTATATATTTATATATTTATATATTTATATATACATATATATATATATATATATATATATTTATTTATATATATATGTACAATATATATATATATATATATATGTAAAATATTATAATAATTTTTATGAATTGGATGAGTATTCCCAATTATTAATTATATATATAAAATTATAAATTGAAAGCAAGACTTGAGCTTTATAATGGACTTAGACTGAAACCTAGTTATTCATTGCATTTAACGATTAAATATAATCTATTATATAACTAGTAACGTAATGGATGAGCGGTATGCGTTAGTAAAATTTATTTCTTTTTAAATTGCATGCTGTAGTTAGTAATAATCTAAGTGCCACAACTGGTAATACATATGTAATAAAGTCTGGCTTTTCATGTTATTTCTTGCATTTGTAAAAACGCGATTTTTTTTTTTTTTTTTTTTTTTTTTTTTTTTTGGTTGTTGTCATAAACTTAATGTTTTCTGAAGGAGGTTGTTTGAAATAATCAAAAATACTCGTATAAAATTCCAGCTTTTACGATAATCACAAGCTATTTTCATGTTTGGACTGATAGCGTTTGCAAAAAAAGTAGGACAACAAATGATTATAGAGGTGGTCGTTAAGCAAGCACTTAAGTAAGCAGCAGAGAAAGATATAAAAAAAGTAATTAAGTATAAATGCAAGATGAGAGGGAAAGAAGCTGGTGGCATCTTTTCGCCAAAAATTACTCAATAAAACTAAACATATGTCCATATTGATCGATAAAATGTCACTGAAAAACTTCTGGCCATTCTTTCCTGAACTGAACAAAATGATTTTTTTTTTTTTTTTTTTAGGTTTCTTTTGATGTTAAGTTTTCTTCAGGAGGTGGGGGGTTACATGTGGCTTGTTCAGCACATACCATGAATGCATGAAAAAAACTACGTAGTCAAGTTCTCTCTCTTAAGCTGTGCGCCAAGTGTCACTAAAAGTGTTTGTGGTTTGGCATTATTGTAATAGAAGACAACGCTCTATCCCTATCGGGCAATTTTGAACGCTTTACTTCAATTGCTCGCTTTAGTTGCTTGCATTAGTTGCTGACGGGCAGAGAGGGAGGATTTGTATCGATCTTACATATATTTTTAAATATTTCCATAAACCGCTCTATCAGTCAGTTTAAAAAAAATTATGGAAGCTAAGTGGCTAAATGGTTTCCGGGTGTGTTGCTTTTTTTTACCGCAAAGCTTGACTTTTTTCGAGCTTTTAAAAATTCGATTGTATACACTTGAGAAAAGTTACCAATTTTGTACTGTTATGTAAAACTTAAAGATGATATTTTTTACTATATATTGCTAAGTAAATCTGCTTCTTTTCAATTTAATTGTAAATCCATTACTTGATTTTCTATAATATTTAAATTAAAAAAAAAAAACAAAAAAAAACAACTTATCTCACTTTCTATTTCTTCGTCATTAGCAATCGTTTAGTGTCAAGAAGTAAATCGATTTTCTATTACATGTGTACATAGTATAGTGAAAGTAAAAAATCATTTCAATTTCAATTTAAATAATTTAAATCGAATAAATCAAATTACAAAATTGCTCTAAATGCTCTTTTCGTCTTTTTTCCAAAGCGCAAAAATTAATCATTAGGAAGAAAGGCAAAGCAGCTGAGGGGGAATAAAAATCCTGCTTCTAATAAAATACTTGCTATTGTAATGTGATAGGCATCGTTATAGAGTTTGAACATCTTCCCACGTAGGGTCTCATCTTCCGTATCAGTATTTTTACGATCAGTTATGTTCGTTGTGTCATGTAACGAAGAAAGGCAAACACCTCCTCATCAATAAAAATGAAATGGAAAGAAAGCCCATTAACTTGAGCGCATCAAGGTGTCAGTTAAGGTTTTTTTCTTTTTTAATTTTCTAATTTTTTAATCGTTTTTGTTTTTTTTTTTCTTTTTTTGTTACCATATACTGAAACGGTGTCCGCAAAATGTAAAAAAGAGCGTAAAAAAATGTAACAAAACTAATACGTAACATCAGGATAAATCGAACACCGTACAAAGCTTTTTCATATTCTCATTTCAAATCGGTGCATACTTGTCCTGGTTTATAGGCTTTCTTGGAAAAGTGGAGTAATTTTTCGAAAATTTTTCAAAAATGAATCCCATACTGTTTTTAAAAATTATTTTCATTGAGGTGACTTTTTTAAGGCAAGTTCTCTTATAAGGGTATTCGGAGCTCCGTCGTATTTAATGTAAGGATCTTCTATCTTATGTATCCAAGTGTCAACCAGTTAAATAAGGTACTACCTGATGGGGAAGACCACACAAGCCATTTAGTTAGCCGACATTATAGACTAGCCTGGAATCCGTTGACGAGGTAATTAATCTGCGGACAAGGTGTTCAGCAGGTTGGTCAAGAGCGGTTTTGTTTTGCGTGGCAGATAGCGAACAAAGGGATAAAATAAAGAGAGAGCCAAAAGCCGGGTAAACTGACAAGTCAACTAAAAAAATCGTTCAGCTAAGCAGGTAGTAGGCAGCCAGCGATTTAGTTAACAATTCATTAGGTAACTGGCAAGTAAAACCGGAAACTTGACTTGTGAACAATCAGACAGACATCCATTCAAAGTCTAATTACCGGCATATTTATATGATCATCCTTTCACCTATTTAACCATGCATCTGACCATTCATGCAGCTAATCAAGCAAAGTAGAAACCGGATGGACGTCCCATTACTTAACTCGATCCGAACTTCGATAAGCATTTGAACTGTAGGATAAACGCTGAGCTATTCGAATATCGTTGGGAGAATCACTACTGCCAGTGTAGGGCATTAAATAAGAAAATTGAACAATTAT